TTCCTCAGCTTTTCACATATACTTCATTTTGGGGTAACGAGGTGGTTGCACGATACCCTAGCGCGGGTGACTGTGTAAGCGACGTGTTTGTAGAAGAATACCCGGTGTAATGGGATTATGACATCACTCTATGAGTATGGATAAATCCATCTTAAATAGCAAAATAGATTTCTTAAAACTATTTGAACAATGATATAACTCATAGTTAAAATCAAAGTGAATTTTTAAAAGTTATCTAAGAATTGAAAGAGAAATTTTACTAGATTTAGAGTTGTAATCTCAATGATATATTTTTCAGTGCAAATAATAACAACGTAGAAGATAAATATAATACATTAAATAAAAGTTGAGATTTGAATTATAAACTTTCAGTCAAAAGAACACAGTAACTAAAAATATGTTCATCAGAATTATAATTAGTGTCAATCAAGATTTTATATATAAAGTAGAATAAAAAATGTATTTTTAGTGTTCTATATGTCTTATTTATAATTTATAAAATTTGTTTCTGCTACTCTGCCATAGCTCTAGGAGAATAATCTAATCGATAGGGAATGGATTTCTCATTTTTGTGCTTTGATTGAGCGTAACAGACTTTTTTAAATATTCGCTTATATTATAATTCAAATTAGTCAACTACTCATTAAAAGATATTAAAAGGTTGAAAACACATTGTTTTCTATAAAGATATCTCCGATTCGATAATCTTTACTGGTAAAGTTTGAAACTAATCCTGTAAAAGATCTTTTATTACATCAATATGGAATTGCTTATGTTTAGCGTAGGTGTAAGCATAATATCTTTTGGACGCACCGTCATGATATAACTGAGTTTATTTTAAGACATAACAAAAACCTAATATTCTTAATATATTTGAATAAGACACTTAATTGCATTGCTTCTATTGTTGAATAAATGGATGTATTTATAATACGTGAAATGAATTACATTACCAAGTTGTGACATAAACTAGTAAACCTTCTATTATGACACTTATCTACGTCATTTATGTTACTTTCACTTAGATAGATTTCAATAGATTTAATTCATTTCAATCTTTTCTTCTCGTTACTATTTTTAATAAGATAAATAGTTATATATACGCAACAACTCTTCAATTATGTAAAGACAGTCGTTTTGATCGTTATTACAGTATGACTTTACTTGTTTTCTTAATCTTTTCAGTACAGATCAATCAAAATATTTCGATAAATCTCTGTTTAGAATGAGTAGTATTTGAGAAATGATTGTTGAAAAATATATTAGTTATTCAATTATCAAGTTGTTCATATAATTAAGATTGATAGAATGATGAGAAAACTATCAAACTAGAAACTGTTAAGACATGGCAGAAAATGAACTATGACAGTTTCCTTGTCATTCTGAATTTTTTATTAAGGTTTCTCAAATGTGCAATGTTTCGTTGCTGAATCGATACAGACAGATGAAGAGTTTAATCGGCAGAAAAAAAGAAGAGTCAGATGAAAGAATCTATTTTTTTGTTGTAATATTTTTCATACTTTTTGTAAATTATAGTGTTTTTCTACTTGTTCATTTAATGATTATCTCTTCTGATCTACATATCGAAGATAATGGCAGATCCTTCATATATTTTAAGATTAGTCAAAATCACAATATTTGGAACTCATTACCATTTCGCATTAGATATTTTACCGATAAAGAATTTTCCTAATTATGTAGTTAACAACTGAACGAATAGTAGAAGAAAGTTTTGTGAGAGATAACTGTAGTTATCCATGACTAAGACCCACATAACCATCATGATTTATATTTATCACACGCACACCCTTATTAGCATTGGAAACTTTTAACAATTTTGTTTTAGAATTCTACAGTTTGTTAAATTTCTCTTTCTAGATTTTGTGATATATTCTTCTATAATCATTATAATGTCATTACAATACGCTGGTGAACAGCTCACAGCCTATGGTGGTATCTTTCTTCTTGTCACAGGTGTAACGGGGGATGCTTTGAATATTTTCATTTTTTTAACTATACGTATCTATCGCACGACTCCCTGCACATTCTTTTTTCTTGTTGGCTTAACCCACGACATTGGTCAACTATTGATCAGTCTTACCGAGCTTATTTTTAAAACAGGTTATGGAATAGATCCAACTCGGACGTCAACTTTCTTGTGTAAATCACGACTGTATCTTGTAAATGGTTTTGCCACCGTTTCATTAAGTTGCTCGTGTTTGGCAGTGATCGATCAATTTCTGGTCACGTCAAGAAGTGCTCGTCTTCGTGGATGGAGTAACATAACATGGGCTTATCGGCTTGCTCTCGTGGCATTTAGTATCGCATGGCTGACTAGTATTCCAATAGCAATTCATACCGAGATTTTACCAACTATTAGTACGTGTATCCCCGATGCTAATCTTACTGCCTATCTTCCATTTGCAAGTCTTCTTACTTTATCTGCCCTTCCCGTCTCGGTGATGCTCACTTTTGGCTATTTAGCTTATCGAAATATTCGTCTGACGACAGCTCTTACGCGACACCGAGTTGACCGTCAATTGACAAGAATGATTTGCATGCAAGTCATTCTCATAGCTGTTTGTCAAATTCCATATGGCATCTTTAATGCTTACACCCTACTCACCGCTAACGTCACCAAAGATGCCGATCGTCTGGATAAAGAGCTGTTTGCTTCCAGAATCGCAGCTCTACTTAATTATGGCACTTCCTCTGTATGTCTATTTTTATAAAAATGGTTATGTGTATTCTTTTGAATTATTTGTATAGGGAAACTTCTACGTCTTCTTAGTGACATCCAGTCGATTTCGTCAAATAGTGAAGGATAAAATCTTCTGGTGGCGACCACAGAATCAAATTGGTCCAGTGACAGTCGAAACGACGTGATTCAATTTATAACAAATCAATCTGATCAAAGAATTTTCATGCATCAAAATTCTGCGGACCAATATTTCCTATCCCTGCTTTTCCGATATTGTCTCGTCAAATGTTGTTTTTTTCGTCGAACAAATAAAATATAAATATATCATTATGTCAAAGAAAAAAAACCTGCCTCTGTTATAGGAACTTGAGGGAGAATATATATTCATATCGATGACTATTCGAAGACGTCGTTACTGCTTTCCGAGATATATTGAAGGATGGGTGTAGGTGTGAATATAGGTGTCAGATTTACATCATAATCGCATCCACACCCACACCCTTACAAAATAAACACCATTTTTGCATGGAAAAGAAATTATCGCATATTCAAAATGGCAAAAGTATGCTATTCTCATACCCAAACCCTCAAATTAGTTTATCAATTGAATTAATAATTTAAAAAAAATAAAAGCAACAATCCATTAAAGAAAAACCAAACTTAAATTAGAAATTAAAGAACAAGTGAATAATGACAACAAAGATAAAAAGAAAAATTAGACTAAAACATATTTTGTCGAAATATAGAAATGAATACGACAGATTATTTAAAACATGTCGCTTTGTCTTAGAAAATAAATATTATCATTCAGAGAGTATTCATTTCACGTGTACAAAATACATAAAAATATAATTTTCTTTTCAAAGAAATTGTACTAACAGTTCTTTGAAGATGGTAGTTAAGTTCTATCAATCATAGAATTCGCCTATTTTAGTCTCTTTTACATCTATTCGCCAAGCAAGTGCAGGATTTTTTTCGAAATAACTTTCAATTGAATACATTTGACCTATTGCATTTCGAAACAAACATTTTAACTAAGGTAAATTTGAAAGTATAAAGTCGTCAATATAAATAGCATTCGGATGTAAAGTAGGTTTATATCCAAATAACTTAGCGTATTCATGCAATAAATTCCGCCAATAACAACTTACAGCATGTTCATTCAAGTAATTTTGAACTAACTGTTGTCCTTGTTTACCTATTTCTTTAGTTACATTTTCATGATTCTGTAAGAATTGAAGTGTTTTATTAAACGCTATTTCATTATTTATTCGTTCCACAAATATTACATTTTTACCATTTTCCAAAAGATGATACCAATATTCCTCATAATGTTCAATAGGATCATACACGACGGAAGAACCACAAAGTAAAAGATATTTCAGTCTAGACGAATATGTATTACCTTCCAAATGTAATAAATGTTTATAATTACAATGTTGTTCCAGTGTAGTATAGGTGTTTGAAACAGATAAAGATAGACCAACGATAATTCTAACCCAGTTCATCGTTTCTATATCTGTAGTATTTGGATACTGCTTTGCCGTATTAATATACCAAGTTCTTTTCCACGTGTCGGCTCCACGCCAGAATAATTTTGGTACTCTCTTTTCATAATCTATTTGACGCGATGCATTCAATATAGACTGAAAAACTTTCGACCATCGACCAGCACGTACTTCTGGCCAGCCCCATAATGTAAAACATGGCATTAAAACTAATGCATCTGGTCGTAAGCCTCTTCTCATTGTATTACTTTTTGTAAAGGCAAAAATTGGTACATTAAAAAGTACATCATTAAGCTCTTTAGGTAACTCAACTGCATCTCCAACGTGGAAGAAAAGATCAAGATCAGGAATATCAGAAAAAGTATCCATCATATGTTTGATTAATAATTTTACACTGCGACTACGTGTTTCATAGTTGGATACTGTAGATCTTGGAACAATATAAAGTTTGTTTTGAATAATTTGAATATGATGACAACCAAGACAAGAATTTGATATATTTTCAATATCTTTTAATAGAATGGTCCGATTTTTGAATGGTTGTAAATCTTTATGTATACGAGAAAATAAATCAAGTTTTTTATTTTTTGAATATAACTGATAACAAATATGTTGATCTGATTGAATTGATAATTGCCAATAGTTGGATGATTTATTATTACAAATAAAATTGAAAAATGGTTTCACAATATCATAACAATAGTTAAGATTGCTAATATTAAACGGACTTAGATCCTTTCGAATATGCAGTAATCGATTTGGTGATAGTTGAATTTTTGTCATGACGAACAAGGCTAACAAGAAGAATATAAGAAACAATAAAATACGACCATGCTTCTCATTATACGTAGAATATTCCATCGTTTAATATATCTTAATTTACCACTTTTATTCTAGAAAATAATGTATATATAAATAACATTATACAGAAAAATATTATTTCAGAATATATATTCATGACTTGAAATGGAAAAACTTACCAGTGTAGTTTCTTAAGATCTATAATAAAGAATTCACGTAAAGTAGTTGTTAACGTTTTATCATGATTTCTACTGTAAAGCATATGTTATTAATCTCTTATCTCTTATTCTCATACAAATCCACATTTATTATTTATTTCTTGCCTTTCTCGTAATCACAAAAATATGTACATAAAGAGTATGGATAAGTTTATAGCTGAATATCTAGAGATGGTTCTATCTAGTAACAGAGTATAAACTTAAAGCACATAACTACATTCGTCCTGATATCTTTAAAATGAATAAGTGAAATTAGGAAGCCTATAGAGTTGTTAATTTTGATGTAAATATCAATTAAAAATAAATCTGTGGCAAAATACATTAATAATTCATGAAGAGATAAATTGAATAGTAACAATTTTGTAAAGAAAAAAAATTTCTTTATTTCATTATTATTAAATTTTGTTTTTTAGATAATAGACCGTTTTAAACTATAATTTCTCTTCTATTTAATTCTTTTTAAACATGCTAGGTAGCAAAAAAACGATGGAATGAAAAAAAGAAAAATTTCTTTCTATAAACAAAATCAGTTTTTTACAACGAGAAAAACTGGTCGTATTGAATTTTAATACTTTTAAAGGCAAGAAATATACTATTAAAATAAATCTTACTTTCTAAACTTTCAAACTGTATCCTGTTTTGTACTATAATGTCTTTCTCCTGCCGATGTATATTCTTTTTCTAATCAAAACATTTGTTCTTTCAAACATGACAATTTAGATGACCTTCATTTGAGTAATATTAGTGATACAATTGTAAAGCAAATCAAAGAAGTAGAAAAACAAACATCATTGCATCGCACGCCTTTTTGTTTATAATAAGTTAAAGAAATGAAAGAAAAAGTAAAATGTAAATACGTTGATTGATAAAACACTTTCTCTCATTTTTCTTCACCAATGAAGAATAGAAATCTATTAATATACCAATTCAATTAATCTACAAGATATTTTTAAACTATTGTAAGTATTTAACAACAACAAAAATTCTTCATTCGTATTGATTCTAACTTTCAAAAGAAGAAGAAAAAAAAATAAAAAATAATGTATTTATCTATATGATAAAGTTTCTTTAATAAATATATCTTCATATAAAGATTACAATAATTATAAATTTTTAAAAAACAAAATC